GTTGTGTGTCTTTGACAGGTCTATGTTATTATACTTTTGCATTACTAAAGCAGATGCACATATTAGACTGTAGAGATGTATGTTTAGTAGTCTGTCTGATTAACCTTATTTCTAACATCTAACATTTGCCTGTTCTTTAGATACCCAAGCACTTTTGTTACCTGGGGTCTTCGAGCTTCACATCCAGGTAAGACAAACTTCAGAATAGATTCAATTACAATTTGATCAGATTATACGTGTTCTGTAAGTCCAATAGACGTTCAGGGAACCTCCATACAAGGTTAAAAACTATTTCAGATGTGGACATATTTTATGTAATTTAATGTCTCATTTAGACAATTTAAACTGTTTCTGGACCAAATAAACACTTTCAGGATGCATTAAATTAAAACTCATGTTTATTTCAACGTAATTTCTAATTGCAAAGCAACTCACAGACAGTGTTCGTTTGTCCAAAAATCATGAAATCATTACTGTCTACTTAGGGCAGGCACCTTAAGGTCCCTGGTTCGAATCTGATTTCTCTCACGATCCAAATATGTATAAATTACAGATGCTAAACTGTCTAAAGGTGTCAGTGCGTGTTTGTCCAAAAATCATGAAAAGAAACTTCACTGTCTGTGAATTGCTTTGCAATTACACATGGAAATTACATTGAAATAAATGTGAGTTTTAATTTAATATATCCTGAGAGTGTTTATTTGGTCTAGAATAAGTATAAATTGTCCAAATGAGACCTTAAATGATGTTGAAAATTGTCCACATCTGAACTACTTTTCAACCTTGAATGGAGCTTCCGTGAACGTTCATTACAGAACACCTCAAAAAAAGTCGTAAAAACTTTCATTCTGGCTCCTCAATGTACGTCTTTGTGACAAAGACGTTGAAAAGATGTCTTTTGGACATAATTTTGCTTAGTGGGTTTATTAATATTGTGATGATATGGGGTGATTACGTTTGCTCTTGAAAGATATTTAAACTCTGTAGCTTAATTAACAGTAATGTGATGACCAGTCAGGTACAGGCAAGGACAATTGCATTTGTTTTATTGTAATGCATCCTTTGAACCAGAAAAATACAACACTCATGCTAGAGTAGATCATGATATTTTAGTACCCACACTCTATGGCATTGTCATGGTAGACTTCACTCTGGTCACATGTTCTAGTCACAGTATCCATCTTGTATCCACCACCTTTAGCAAAAAAAGTACAATTTGGACTTTGTGTCTTATCTCTTCTACCTGTCTGCTATATTCATCTCATTTCCTATTTGTCTGACCAAACTCTTGTTTCTTTTTTGTCTCCACCAATAGAGTCGGGCTGAAACAGAGGTGCACGCTGAGCTTGGCAGTTGCCCACTGAAAATGTACATGTGCCATCACCCCGACACGATTGGGATTATCATATAAGGACAGCCCGTGGTCAGAGGTGTGCCAAACCTGTCGAAAGCATGCTGCCTCCTGTTTGAACTTACCTATGCTCTCGACCTCAAGTATCCCTCAAAACTGGTGTATACTTGAGATATATCAGAGGCTTTTTGTAGGATTGGACCCTGTGTGTCCTAAACCATCATCAAGTCATTTTTGACATTGCAGTTCCAGTGTGATACAATGTGATGTTATGGCTCACATTTACCTTGATCCTAACATTTCAGATTGGGCAGTTTGGATATTTCACTGTACTGTTCAGAACAGGTTGAAAATACACTTCTACAGTGTTTGTTTTATATTAGAGTGTACATGTGCGGCCACATTTATTTGCTGTTTTGTAGTCACTGTTAAAAGTGACATTGGTTGACATTGAATAAATTATATATTGTCTTCAATCTATCTTCTCATCTTTTTCTTCTTCAATTGAATTTGTAATTGTTATTGACAATTAAAAAAAATATATAAAAATGTTTATTCACATATGATTAAGTTAATTTTACTAAGAAAATAAAGTTCATAAAACCTAATTAAAATGAGTACAGGTTACTTGTAGCAACCCATAAATAAGTTTACTGTACCAAGAAAAGTGGGTTTATCTAACTGAGTAATACTAGTACTATTAGTTAACTCAACTTGATTTTGTTGCGTTTGTATAAAGTAATGTTAAAGTGTTGAATATACTTAAAAAAGGCTGCAAGTTGAATCAACATAAAACATCCAATGCAGCCACTTGCCTCACTTTTTATAAGTTAGATCTAGGTATTACTTTTTACAGTGCAGTAGCGCGAGGGACCCGTTCTTAGTGTCGGGTTGCTACGCCACTCCCGCCCCCATGGGCTGGATACGTGCGTCTATTTGGTCCAGTAGTGTTCCCCAGAAATGGCTAACCCTGTGAGTTCCTCCGTCACCCCTGCGGCAGTCAGACGTTGGGGAGCGTCTGACGCTAGGCCTACACTCGTATGCATTGTGGAACCGGTGTTAGGCTGGGTGTCCATATGTAGCGGTCCCTGCGGCGACCCCATATGTGTATTCCTCCACGATCAGCTCCTCTGCGGACGAGCCCGAGTCTTTCCCTCGAAAGAGCCTGCTCTGTCGTCTCTGCTCGTGTTCTTTCCCCCCTAGAATTTGTCTGGAACCACCCCAGAGACTGGCATATGTCGTATTACCCTGCTTGGCTAGTCCATATGTGTAACCGTCACAGTGCCCCCCTCCGGGGTAGGATGTGGCTTCCGCAGCGTTCCCTTCCCCAAGGGCACGCTTTCCCAGCGTTATCCAATAAGTCACACTGACTGGGTCTTGCGGAACAGCAGTGACTGATCTTCTCTGCCTAGAGCCCCTTACGTATGGTAACCCTCATTCCCCACAGTTGCTGAGCTTCCGCTGTACGGTCACAGGTCTGGCTCCTCAGCGGAAAAACAAGGATGTGAGGCACCGCAGCTGGTGCAATTATCGCATGCCAATCTGCATTGGCTCGTTTAGTTCACTCGAAGTAGATAGGCTCTCTCAAGCGATCCCTATTTGTCTAGACTTACGTCTTCGTTCCCTCCTCGGGGAACGAGGGTTACCATACGTAACTGAGACGATTTCTGCCTTTGTTATTTAAAACGTTATTAAAAAAGGAAAAAAAAAAGATAAAATAGCATCTTTTATCATTTGTTTGGAATTATACCACAGTAAAGCCTATTTATTGACTCCAAACAGCTTAAAGCTTATCGCTGGTGTTTCAGATGTCACAAACTAACTTATAACCAATCACATCAACGTGTGATCAGGGAGTGGATCTCTGAGCTGGTGTGAGTGAGTAGACGGGGCTAGTTTGCATTTTCATAGAACCGCGTACTAAATGAGGCAGTGTGTTACCTTCAAGCTATATTATAGCATGAAGAAATTTATTTTTGTGTAATTTTGGTGATCAAAGATGAGTTTTAGGGGATAAAATGATTTACTTTAAGAAATTACTCAACTTACTCAAAATCAGAGGTGGACAGTAACAAAGTACATTTACTTGAGTATTGTACTTAAGTACACTTTTTGAGCATCTGTACTTGAGTATTATTCTGGAAATCTTTTTTAGAGGGTGGTGATGGCGCAGTGGATAAGACACATGCCTTTGGTGTGAGAGACCCGGGTTCGAACCCACTGTGAGACACCAATGTGTCCCTGAGCAAGACACTTAACCCCTTGCTCCAGAGGTGTGCAACCTCTGACATATATAGCAATTGTAAGTCGCTTTGGATAAAAGCGTCAGCTAAATGTAAATGTAATGTAACTTTTCACTTTAACTTCACTACATTTGAAAGACAAATCTCGTAATTTTTACTCCACTACATTGTTGTCAAGGTCCTTGAGTAGAAAGTTGTAACGTCAGTCAGGGGATGATTTTGGTTGGAAATGAAAGTCGGGTTGACGGCAGAATCCGACGTCGGATTGACATCAGAACCCGACTGATGTTGGTTTCTGATGTCAACCCGATTCTCATTTTCAACCACAATACAATGTCTATCCAATGTTGGAGATTAACGTCAATCTGACGTTGGATTCTGACATCAACCTGATTTTCATTTTCAACGTTGGGTTTGGTCTTTTAAATGTCCATTTTGTCATTGTTTTGGAGCACAACAGCTTATAGATAACAGTAAGGCTAACATATTAATACTAAAAGCCAAAAAACTTTAAACAGGGCACTATTTGAGGGAACAGCCTTTTGGGTGTCCGAAACCATTGTGGACGTTATTGAGTACACTTATTCAATCTCACATTCAATCCCACTACTGGAACTGGTGTTTCAGAAATAAATTTGATATTGATATGAGGGTAGGTAGGCAGACATAGATTCAGAGGCATACGGTAGGCTACTGTAAGTATTACATACAACAATGCAACAATAATAAAACAATGCATTGACATTTACTTTTTACTTCTGATACTAAGTACTTTTAAAAACGAGTACTTCTGTACTTTTACTTAAGTAAAAATCTGTCTTTACAACTTTTACTTGTAACGGAGTAATATTTGACCAGTAGTATGTACTTTCACTCAAGTAAGGAAGTTGTGTACTTTGTCCACCTCTGCTCAAAATGCAGTTTTGGTTTAGTTCCAGCGGTTTACCAGCAGTCTCTACTACAGGAGGATCTGAAGATTCTACTTCCTTATGTGTATTTTGTATAGGTCATCCTTCAAAACAAAATATGGTTTTGGCAATAATTAATTAAATAAGTTAGGCTGCAAAATAGTGCTAGCTGTGTAGACTCGAACTTCACATTTCTTCACAGAAGAGGAAGTGGTGACTGACACATTTTGTGGTTAAACTGGAGGAGCACACTTCAGGTTTGAGGGAAATTTGTAATTACTTCTTGTTGACAATATCCGACCAATCCTACCACAATGAAACAATATAAATTACAACATAGGCCATATTATAATATTCACATACACTACCGTTGAAAAGTTTGTGATAAGATTAAAAAAATATATAACAACAGACTTTTTAACGGTACAATATATGTTTATATACATGTAACGTACATTACATTTAAATATTTTTTATTTTATTTTTAAGCGACTTTTATTTTGAAACCTTTTTATTTCCCCTTTGTGGTGTTGAGTGTCTCTAGGCGGCTGGCTTCCCTCTACTGTACTATCAGATATACGTCGATAAACAAAACGTTTAATTAACCTTTGTACTTATAAGTTTTTCCGCACTTCAGGTAACGTTAAAGCTTTTCAGCGCAATTTTATCGATTTCAGAAAATATAATTCGTAGATTACTTAGTCATGACTATGATAGTAATTGAAACATGAACCTGACTATCGAAACTGCTTCTGTGATGTTTTAAATAGTAAAAGATGGTTGTAAAGCAGACAGATATAAACGTCTATACATTATTATGTTATGACTTAGTTAATCTGTGATCCGATGCTTAAAAGGTTGGCCTGCTTTGATTTTATTAATCTTTGTATAATCAATGAATCTATAAATGTACACAATATTGCTTTACTATGTGATTATTTAAAGTCTTTATTCAGTTTTATTATTCTTAACAGATGCCAGATGTGAACACCAGTAAATCTACTTCTCCATCTAATGGTGGAAATGTAGAGGAACCATATAAAACCACACCACAAATTCAATCAGATGTTGTCAGAGCGTCTCCAGTGACTCCAGTGTCTAAATCATCCAATAATCAGACGATTAACCACACGGAATTTGCTTATTTAACGTTACCTGCTGAAAGTAATTTCAAGACACAACAGGATGTCGATCCAGATGGGGGAAAACTGGATCCTTCAACACAAATGCAAACAGACGCTAATGTGAAAGAAGTTAACACATGTTCTATTGAGAGTACAAGCCAAGCAGACAGAAACCGTGTCATTAGAAGGTTAGGTGTCACTAGTACTGCATTTATTGGGCCTGCGTGTCGCCCTGAACCTTGTATCGAGCAGGAGCTTTGTGAATTTTACAAAGAGCTTGAGGAAGTAGATAAGGTCGATGGCGACTCTGACACCAAATCGGTTGAAGAGCATGCCCTTCATTCATCCTGGAAGCCCAAAACCAACCTACCAAACAGGAAGGACAGTCCTGTTGTCGTAACTGATCATGGTAGAGCCTACAGACCCTACCCGGATCCACATGAACGCAACCAAAAAGATCCAAAGAGATGGAGACCTCGCTTACAATGGAATACATATGACTTTGGTGGAAGAGGACATCCAGAGCCAAGGTATCCACCTCCACCATGGGTTTCTCCAGACCCAAGGATTCAGTTCTTCCCTCCCCCAACCTCTGGATGTCCAATCATGTATCCTCCAGACATGAGACCTCAGGAGAACTTCCACAGTCTTCATACGAAAAACAAAAATAACAGCTTGGGCCCATGGGAAGGGCCACCATTACCTTCAAACAGCTGGCATGAACGTAGCAGTTTCCAGTCACAGGAGGATCATAGATTCTCTGAGGAATATGAAACACCGTTATCACACTGGCAGCAGCAAGATCACGAAAAAGACCAATATCAACATTTGGAGCTCATTTTGTTGAGGGGAGTCCCAGGATCTGGAAAATCCACTTTGGCCAGGTGAGTAAAACTAAATATGTAGAGAAAAGACCTCATTGTTTTTTTTCTACACCAAATCAGTGGCCAAATGTTTGATTAAATACTAAAGACGTATTACAAATAATACTTGTATTGATTTTGAGTTTTGGTAACATTGTAACATGGCCTATGTTTTGAATAGTTTAGGTAAGCAGAGAACTGATTTTTTTAATGTTACACTGCATGTCTTTTAGAGAGCTCCTGTCCACTGGTCCCAATGGAGTAATATTGAGCACAGATGACTACTTTTTCCAAGACAACAGATATGTTTTTGATTCTGCTCTGCTTGGGGACGCACACGACTGGAATCAGAAGAGAGGTGAGGAAAGCCTATATGTTACATATTTTTTTATACATTGGGCTCTGAAGCATTTTCGTCCTACAACTTAATCCTTTTAATCATATATATATGATTAAAATCATTAAATTGTTGTAGGATGAACTGTGCTACCACACACACACACGCACGCACGCACACACACACATATATATATATATATATATATATATATACACTCACCTAAAGGATTATTAGGAACACCATACTAATACTGTGTTTGACCCCCTTTCGCCTTCAGAACTGCCTTAATTCTACGTGGCATTGATTCAACAAGGTGCTGAAAGCATTCTTTAGAAATGTTGGCACATATTGATAGGATAGCATCTTGCAGTTGATGGAGATTTGTAGGATGCACATCCAGGGCACGAAGCTCCCGTTCCACCACATCCCAAAGATGCTCTATTGGGTTGAGATATGGTGACTGGGGGCCATTTCAGTACAGTGAACTCATTGTCATGTTCAAGAAACCAATTTGAAATGATTCGAGCTTTGTGACATGGTGCATTATCCTGCTGGAAATAGCCATCAGAGGATGGGTACATGGTGGCCATAAAGGGATGGACATGGTCAGAAACAATGCTCAGGTAGGCCGTGGCATTTAAACGATGCCCAATTGGCACTAAGGGGCCTAAAGTGTGCCAAGAAAACATCCCCCACACCATTACACCACCACCACCAGCCTGCACAGTGGTAACAAGGCATGATGGATCCATGTTCTGATTCTGTTTACGCCAAATTCTGACTCTACCATCTGAATGTCTCAACAGAAATCGAGACTCATCAGACCGGGTAACATTTTTCCAGTCTTCAACTGTCCAATTTTGGTGAGCTCTTGCAAATTGTAGCCTCTTTTTCCAATTTTTAGTGGATATGAGTGGTACCCGGTGGGGTCTTCTGCTGTTGTAGCCCATTCGTCTCAAGGTTGTGCGTGTTGTGGCTTCACAAATGCTTTGCTGCATACCTCGGTTGTAACGAGTGGTTATTTCAGTCAAAGTTGCTCTTCTATCAGCTTGAATCAGTCGGCCCATTCTCCTCTGACCTCTAGCATCAACAAGGCATTTTCGCCCACAGGACTGCCGCATACTGGATGTTTTTCCCTTTTCACACCATTCTTTGTAAACCCTAGAAATGGTTGTGCGTGAAAATCCCAGTAACTGAGCAGATTGTGAAATACTCAGACCGGCCCGTCTGGCACCAACAACCATGCCACGCTCAAAATTGCTTAAATCACCTTTCTTTCCCATTCTGACATTCAGTTTGGAGTTCAGGAGATTGTCTTGACCAGGACCACACCCCTAAATGCATTGAAGCAACTGCCATGTGATTGGTTGATTAGATAATTGCATTAATGAGAAATTTAACAGGTGTTCCTAATAATCCTTATATTGTTTTTTCATCATGTGATTATATTACGTTTATTTAAAGGGGTGGTATAATGCCCTTTTCAAAAGATGTAAAATTAGTCTTTGATGTCCCCAGAGTGTGTATGTGAAGTTTTAGCTCAAAATACCCCACAGATATTTTTATATAGCCTAGCATGTTAAAATTGTCACTTTTTGAGGGTGAGCAAAAACGGTAACGCTTCCTTTTACAGTACAGTACGGTACTTACGTGTACTTACAATGTACTTACCTAGAAAGTACTGGCTAATATAAGGTAAGTACATGGTTTAGGGGTAGGTTCAGGGTTAGTACCTAGTTATTACCCAGTAATTATAATTACTATAATAAGTACATAGTAAGTACATGGGTAACAGGACTGTAAAAGGAAGTGTTACTGCAAAAACGCACCTTTTTTGTGTGTCCCTTTAAATGCAAATGAGCTGCTGCTCCCAGCACACGCATAGAGGGCGGAGCTTCGATTACCTCACACTGACATGCACTGAAAATTTCAAAAACTTTTAGCCTTTTATGTTCAAACAAAAGTCAGATAAAGATGGAGAGACTCAAGAGGAAGTGACAACATGTGCAATGCAACAGGACATTTCTGAATGGTTGATGAATTTATGTTATGTAGCTGATGTGTATTTATCTTCTAGTCATTGATTAGCATATTCTGTTGTGATAATCTATACATCGTGTTCCCGGGTTTATGTACATTCTAGGGTTAGGGATGTCACTAACTCGGGAGGAATGTCCTGTATTCCCTACCAGCCGTTTGTTGTAGTCCTTAAAAAGCAATTTCTTTAAAAGCAAATATCTCCCTTTGCTTTGAACTTTGAGTGTTGTGTAAGTTGGCAGATGTTGTTTATGCTCAAACATCAACATTACACACTAACTAAAGTTTCATAATCAACCACCCCTTTAACATTAATTGATGAACTTTTATGAAAATATGTCCAGGTCATATTTCAGCCCAAAATAAATAAAGTTTTAAAAAACTAGATACATTAAATTAAATTAGATTTTTTAGGACTATTATTTTTGTAATTCTTTTCAGTGGTGATTCACTTTTGATTGTCATTGCTGCAATACAGTCATTTTTACTGTATTACAGTAAAACAAAGATTAAATAAAGATTAAATAAGTTTTTTATTTATTTATCAAACATCAATGGTATACAAATTCATATAATACCATTTGAATTATGAAAAGGCAGGAATTTATATTTCTATATTTAAATAGCTTAATTGTCATGAAAATAATGTTACAATGCAACAACAACAAAAAAAACGCCCTATAATTTAGTTTTTGGGGGGCCAGGACATTTTTGTAAGATTTGTCTGTTTACGAAATTATTCAGACAATTTTAAGAATGGAAACTTTCGCAAATTTGAGCATTTGATGTTTTGAGAAAGAGCATGAAGTTTAAAAACATTTTTTTTTATGTCTTTGTCATTTCTAAGCTGAACAGCTGATGTTGGAGGGCCGCTCACCTGTTATCATCGACAACACTAATGTTAAAGCCTGGGAGATGAAGCCTTATGTTGAATTGGTGAGTTGGTGTCAGAAATGCCTGGAACTGGAGTGATAAAGGGATTTGTAAAACACAAGTTAGGCTTTAAACTGGCTCTGAAAACTGTCTGAAATGCAACCAACCGCTTTAAAAACATTTTCATATGTTTGAATCCAGATATTATCTTCTTGTATTACATTACATTACGATTCTCGGGCTAGTAATTCTCTTTCTCTTAAAGAGGATTCTCTTTAGTAACACATTTTTATTATTTTCCTTTATTTCACACAGGCTTTAAAGAACGGATACAGAGTGGACTTTTTTGAGCCAGATACCTGCTGGAAATATGATCCTGCCCAGTTAGAAAAGTAAGTCTGATAACAGCTTTGATTGTCATGTCAAGCCAGGAACACAGTGACTTGTATTAATCACTGAATGAGAAAGACTATTGACTTTGGATCAGGGTTTGGCTTACGGTACAGAGGTTCGGAATTCAGTTGTGTTTAAGTGGATAAAATGTTTTATAGTCTAGGATCAGTGAGTATCTTTCAAATCCTTGTGAATAAGACCAGCTGACTTTAATTGGATTAAGAGACATTGTTACTTTCTTTTATTTGTTTAATTTACGACAGTCTTTGTATAGCAGTCTAATAGGGCTTGGATATCCTGGTAATTTCCTGTCTATTAATTTAATCAACAGGAGGAACAAGCACGGAGTCCCTCGAGAAACAATAGCAAAGATGCTGGATGGTTTCGAGTGGCCGATGAACGTTAACATTGTGATGAATTCTGTGGTGCCGCCCCATAAAAACAAAGGCCATTAACAGAGAACCGATGCCATGTAGCTGTTATTGAAAGAGAAACATTTTCATATGATCTTTTAGAATACAATAGGTTTTATTTTCTTCGGTTTTAATATTGATGCAGCTAAAGGTGTTTTAATGACTGTGTGGTGGTTTTAATGGTTTATTGAACTTTGAGAACAATGCAAAATGTCTGTTTAAATAGTATCACTTTTCTTCTATACTTAAACTTAGTATGCATATGAAAATGTTCTTTGCCGTCCTAGTTTTTCCCATTGTAATATAGAAATGTAAATCGTCTAAATCACCACATTGATAAGTGTCGACCATTGGTAAGATAAGACCATTAGAGTCTGATAAAGCCTTTGCCTTTTACGCAGTCTGGCACATACAATTCGTGCTGAGCTTCCAGATACATTCCAAGGCAGAATACATAAAAAGATAATATCTGTAGTGACATGCTGAATTAGGAGCAGCACATACAGTCTATGTATTTTTAAGCATTCTCTGTTATTTTTACAAAGACCAGCAGCTCTACTAGACACTGATCTAATCTCAGGGTTTGCAATTTATGGTGCTGTACATTGTTGATGGCTTATGTACAGAACAAAATATCTTTTTCTTAAATGCTTGTTATTTTTGTAAATAAATGCTGTTTTCTTAAATGATGCCACTAATTCATTTAAAAAAAAAAGAATGCACAAGGGACATTGCTGTTGCATGCTTTTCCACTTAATATAAACTGTGGCATTTATAATGCTGAATTAAAATATGAAAAAATTAAAAACAATTATATTATTCACAGCTTTGAGCCTAAAACTCATTTGATCTATTTATAACTCATTTAAAAAAAATTCTATGTTCCCAAAGCAGCATTTAAACCCCTTTTAGAAAAATAAATGGCAAAACCTTGAAATATTATAAATGTGTCCTTGGCAGTAACTGAAATAAGGTTGTTAACTGAGCATGAAATGTATACGATACATTTTTGCGTTTTGTGATGAAACATTGACTCCTAAAAAGCTAGGCATCATTTTTTTTAAAGGTCAAAGCTCAAAGTGCACCAACTTCTAAGAATGACCCCCAGTGCAGAATCATTTACTAGTGTTACTTACTATTTTACAGTATTTATTAATTTTAGATTTTTAGTTTTAATCTTAGTGTTTAGACATTTTGTTATGTGCTTCTGTCCTTTTCATTAGATACAGTATCAGTTATAGATATATATTCATCTCACACACACACACATATATATATATATATCTTTAAATAATTTTTAGTTTTAGCTATAGTAATTTAGAAGGCTACTTCGTCTTCAACTTAAACATTTTAAACAACTAATTTTCTAAGTTCAAGCTTTTAATTTAATATTTATATGATATTTTATTTCAGCTTTATTTCAATTACGGGGAACAATTTTTTGGTTTTAGTCAACAATAGCAGCACTGGTGCACACTGCCTTGACTGCATCCATAGCTGTCATAAATGTGTATTAAAAGAAGGCGGAGACAGACTGTCGTCCTGCTCGTGACCTATAGATGTCGCTGTTACACCACACTCTCCAGCCTACTAAGCGACTCAACATAAACGCTCGTTTATGCACTGACCATTTACATTATTGTTATAGCTGTTTATTTGTTTTTCCAGACCAATACTGCAATATTGCCACAAAAAAGACACAGTCATGCACTTAAATAAGTAAACTCGAGTGGAGGAGGGAAGTGAAGGGTCTGTATTGAGCGGAGCTGCACTGACTGGTGCAGATAGGGACAAATTGGCGCCATTTTGAAGCCGACAGGAGGATCACAGTAGTGGGAGAAGCGAGTGGAGCGCGCACTTTTTCCGAAAAGGTAAACGACTATTTAAATTTAAATCACACGCGAGTGGAATCGACCTCCGCCGATTCGGGTCCGTTAATGGGAATTGTCATTTCGTGGCTGTTTTAGTAGGTGCTTTTTCCCTTTTCGGCGGTTGGTTGTCTATTCTTCTGTTAACCCATGCGAGGATATCTGACTCTCACTGTCTTTCCCCCCAAATCTGTTCGTTCTTAACTCAAAATCCCAATGGCAATGACAGTTGTTGTTGGTTTACGTGTAACGTGTGTTATCGTGGTCGTTTTCATTGGAAAAGAGGGCCGTGGACTTTTCTGGTGCCTCGTGTAACGTTATGTGTACATGCATATGAGTGTGTTTGTGTTTTAGCTCTGTTAGCTTAGCTTAGCTGCTCGTAAACCGATTCAGCCTCTATTTAAATCTGATTCAGAACCTATTTCAGATTCTACTACTGCAGTTAGCATTCATTTTTGTTATGGGCTAATATAGTCCTTTGCGTGTTGAGATCGGACGCGCTGTTATGCATTGGATCTAGATAGTAACGGAGGATCTGTAGTGGTGTGCAATGCATTTTAGCCTGTTAACACCCCCTTAGGACTGTTATCTGGGTTTGCACGGGATAAACCACTGTCAAAGGAATGAAATGACAGCTGATGTGTGATCAAAACTGTATTTTGTCCTGGTTGTGGCTGTATAAAAAGCAGTGAAGGAGCACAAAGACATCAGCTGAGAAAGCCAACCTGCTGTCATAGTGTAAGCCTCTCTTTTTTCCATGCAAAATCATTGTAAGGCTGTAATGGTGTCTTTAAATGTGTTGCATTGTTTACTAATTGCATGCAGAGGTGTTGTGAAATGCGTTTGGTGTTTGCTGGGAGTTTGAAACACCTGCACTGTCTTGATCGTCCTTTAGAAATGACAGCTATTTTCACTTCAGCTTGCATTATTCATTTCTTGCATAATTGTGCTGTTATAACTTCGCTCTGGGAATGCAAAACACTTATTATGCATTTTGACTAATTTATTCGTACTGTTTATTTAAATAGTCTATTTTGTTAGTGTATGTTATACATGTATTTTGACACAAAATTCTAGCAATTATTGCAGAATAAAAGTACATGTATTTTTGTAATTTTTGTTGTAATTAGCGTGAATGTAAATCTATCACTACTTCCATTTTATGGAAATTTAGCAGATGTTTTTTTTATGTAAACATTGGAAATTGTCTCTTAGCAGATATAATATAAATGTAAAGTCTTTTTCTCCTGTAAAAAAATGTAACCCAAATAATGGTAACTTGTACTGTATATTTTTGTCCAATCAAATGCTTTCTAGAATGAGAATGCCCCTCCCCCTAATACCAGCTGGTTCTGACTGTCAATAGCCAGGTTTCCATTCAAGTTTTTTTTTTGTTGCAGAAAAAAGGTTTAGCACTTCAAAATGGTTATCGATATAGCTGATTTATCGACATAATTTTTCATTTGTCTAGTCTACACAATTTTTGCATTTAACTTTAGCGCATAAATTCTATATTGATGCTTCAAATGGTGCAAAAATCAGTTTGAAAGCGCTTTTTTTTAATTAAAAAAGGGCTTAATGTAAATAAATGTTGTTAGTTAGGCTACATGACAGAATTAGCTTATGTAAAGCATCAGTGTTCATGGTGTTGCTCCCGTTAAAGCACTGTTTCATAAAATGTGGGGTTGTATTTAGGGGTGGGGGAAAAAATCGATTCTTAGATGCATCGCGATGCGGACGTGGACGATTCTGAATCGATTCACAATTGTCAAAAATCGATTTTCAAAAAAAAAAAGAAAAAATTTAGATATATATTTATAATAACGTAATATTGACGGAACGCGAAAGACGGAACTCTGAAGCGCGGAAGTGCAGTGGCCGGACCGTCTGTGGCGTGCACGTAACAGACGCGGACGCGATGGCTGAGCGCCAAATCCAAACACCCTCCTCGTTAAAAGCTGACGTGTGGAAATATTTTGGCTTCTGACGTTGAAGGGGGAAAGGAGCTGGACAAGAGCCACACTAGTTGTAAGCTTTGTAGAGTAAAACTAAAATATTTCGGAAACAAGACACATATGAGAAGCCATATGACACGTTTCCAGCCAGAGGAGGAAAAACACTCGGCTGTAACGTTACCGGTCGTTGTTATATTATTAATTTACTACAAATATGCTGCTGCTAGTTCAGACACACATGTATTTTCCTGTTGGTTCTTTGCAATGTTAATAAAATATATTGTACGTTAATTCTTTATGGGTCATTACTTTCTACTTTTAAAGCAAAGTATTTATAGTCACACACACACAAAAAAAAGATTCTGATAATCGATTTAGCATCGAATCGCAGCCCTCTGAATCGTAATCGATTCGAATCGTGAGGTGCCTAGAGATTCCCACCCCTAGTTGTATTAAGACAATCGGTCTTTGTCAGACACGTGGGTTTGTTGTGTGTGACGTCACCGCAGGCGCCATTTTTGAGGTATCGCTACTGACTGTGAGCATTGAAGAGATTACAAGAGTAGAGATAACAAGTAAATAACTCGCAAAACTGGAGAAGCACAAGAAAACCGAGGAAATGCCGTACCACAATAAACTCGATAAATATGGCAGGTACCGTTATTTGGAGAAATTGTCATCCATTCAGAACATAGATCCATATATGAGCTGACTGCAGTAAATTGGAGTGCTGATCCCGCATTGCTTTCTCATCCTCATACTGGGACATTGTCAACTATCTTGTTTATGGTATAAGCGCATATAGCAGTGAACAATTTAAAAACTATAAATCTCTTAAAACCCACGGACATTTTACCAACGGCTGAGTACAGGATTTATTTACATTCCCACCGAAGGACACAGTAGTAACAGCAAAGATAGGTTTGCTGTATTGATGATGATGATAATGTCATGTTAAGGATGGTTTAGTTTTAAAAAATAATGAAAAACACAATTCTCCAACAACAGAATACCCCTGCATCGATACCTTACAAATGGCGGCTACGCCCCATAATGCACTTCGTGTATCACGAGTGTGACGTCACCTGACAAAGACCGATCCTGCTATCTTTGATATTTGATACAAGACAACTTTGATATTTGAGTTATCTCTACTAGTTAAATCGGTCAAAGTTATTCTAATGCAAATATTTTAAGTTGTGAGGGTGACAGCTAATTGCAACAAGATTTATACAGACAGAGTATAAATTTGGAATAGGCAGTTGTTTCTCACATTTTAAAAATAATATTCCCATTACCAAGCATTCTTTTCAATCTACAGTCTATTAAAAAAATACAACTGCACCTGAATATCGATTGATGATTAAGTAATGATCTAAATAGTCTAACGAAGTGACACTTGTTAATAAAAATAATTGTATTATGTCTAGCCTACAATTCAATAATATAATAAAGTTTTGGTTCACATGCATGGATGAGGAAAATATAGCATCTTGAAAATCTCTGAAGCTCATCAAAAATCAAAAAATGAAGTAAGGCTATTGGAGATTTGAATGC